ATAGATAGATAGATAGATAGATAGATAGATAGATAGATAGATAGATAGATAGATAGATAGATATGGATGGATGGATAAGCAGTCCTTAGTGCTCTCTGAACTTGTTTGTTTTCTTGCAGACATTTCTTTACCCTAATTAGGTAACATAATCAATGTTAGATGGATGGATGGACAGAGAGTCAGACAGAGAGACAAGACACACACACACACACACACACACACACGCGGAGGGAGGGATGCGCAGGTAGGCAGGCAGGCAGAAAGACAGAAAGACAGACAGACAGACAGACAGACAGACTGACTCTTTGTTTTGCAGCTCCCTTAGGAAAATTTCTGCTTTTGCAGAAACATTTGCAAATTGGCATACATCATTTACCGGAACTTTCCAGACACTTTTTTTTCCTCCAAATGAATGGGTTCATCTAGTTCATTTAGCATCAGTGCTTTGATCAGAGGCATCCAGATATTGGTAGCACGAAACTCAACAGCTGGGAGCCTCGGTTTGAGACCTCCTGCCAACTTTTATAGCCTCAGCAATCTTGTGTGATATTATTACTCTATGCATTGGTAATTCCTTCGCCATCGCCCTATGCCATTAAAATAAGAACTGACTATAAAGATTAACTCCCTCTCTCCTTCTCTCTCTCTCTCAAAAGTTGACTTACAAGACATATATAAATGTCCTATTATGTTTTAGAAGCATCTTAAAATTTTTATTTTGTTCCTATGAGTTTATGTACCATTGTCAGTGTTTTATTGCCGCTAATATATTTCTTTCTCTAGTTCTTCTTTCATTCAGACACCAAGAAATCTATGAATTCCCACTTCGGTTTTTAGTTCCCCACATACTTAGTTGATTATTATCTGGAGTATTACTGAATAATCTCTGTTCATAAAGCACACAACCTTTCTTTTCTGACAATAACAAATTATTTAATTTTCTCCGGCAAAGCTGCTTTTATTTATAACTGAACACATTAAATATGCTATGTTCGGATCAAATTATACTAAGGAACTTTCAAAGGGGAGAGAAGGCCTAGCAAAACTCTTCTCCCAGCCTGAGTTTTCACACAAGACACTAAACCTTAATTTGGATCCCTTGGTTTGGTATTAACTTATTTATTTATCCAATTTATATGCCCACCCATCTCAGGAAAAGTGACTGTGAGTGCTTTGCCATTTTTTTCTATCTACTTTCTTCTGCTTTTTCTATTAATTCTCAGAATTTGCTTGGCACACACCTAAAGTGGTATGCAGTGAATACCATCACTCTTTTCAACTCTATTTTAATCCCTTTTGAATTCCTGACTGGGATGGAAATTCTGTCTCCTTATCCTTTAGCCTACTTTTTCTTATTTTTATTTTTTTTGTAACCGTGTAATACATTAATGTTGTTGTTTCCATTCTTGCCATTGAGTTTTTCATGTCTATTATTAAAAAAATGAGTAGGAGACTGGAAGCTAAAACATATGAAGAACAGTTGCAGGAATTGGGTATGTCTAGTTTAATGAAAAACCATAAGAAAGACTGAGCACGAATAAAACTTTATAAAAAGAAAGAAAGAAAGAAAGAAAGAAAGAAAGAAAGAAAGAAAGAAAGAAAGAAAGACTGGGTGCGAAGGAATTGAGGCCTTTGAACTATG